TTCCTGTACATGTAACATGTTCGATTTAGCAATGCCAGAAACCCACTCAGATAACTTATTAATGCTAATATTTTTACAGTAAATATATTGAAATTATCATTTTAGTCAGTGTAACACGCAGATCCTACTGAGTACAGAGTATTTAGTATACTTAAACCATGTCCTCGGAAACACGCATGCTTACGTGTACGCTAAGCACCCTGCCCTCCGTTTACTGTAGTATTCAAATATCAATAACAACTTGCATTATGAAAAAGTATATAATATTTAAACGATGCCGCCTTCGGATAATGTATAGTCTTGTGCAGATCCCCATATGTAAACTGAAAAACACATGCATTTATTGATGTCAACTACACCATCTAGTTTTAACCAATTGAAGACACCTTCGCTGCGCTCGTCAGCCAGTAGAAATATTTAAATTATTTTATCCAATGATTTGTCCGGAAAAGCGTGACAGGCACGACAATTTAGTGTGACGGACAGACAGGTTGCTGCAGTAGATGTTTAAGACTAGCGCTCTGGGCGCCCGCTCCGCGGACGCTAGGGCATGGTTGATTGGTGTAGAGAGGGCGGACCACCTCCGCTGCGCTGCGGTGAGCTCAGAAACCCTTACTCAAAGCATAACTACATTTAGTAAATAAAAAATACTGTGCTCAAGCTATGTTGCGTTGCAACAAACGATGTACACGTTAGCCTTAGTGTTTACGTGTTCTACATCACCAATTGCCTGTCAATCTACCTCTTGTATTTCTTGAAGTCATTTTTCACAGCATCACTTATACAAATATATGCGTGACCACTGGCTGTTACAAATAGATACCCGCGTGATGGATGGCTATTGTAGAGAGTCATGGTACAAATAGATATGACAGTAAACTATTGCGAAGAAGAAGTATTCGCCGCTATCACCGGGACTTAAAGTCATCTGCATGATGAACACTGTCTTTCCAAAAAAGATTTTGTCTTAATTCTCGGCTGAGCGCTTCGCTCCTGAAATGCCACACTTTCAGGTGCGCTTCATTGCAAATTTACTTTCGGTTATTTAGAAGGTGGATCAGTATCATTGGTGCGCCAAACCTCAGCATAAATCGGTTAGGAGATCCCAGATAAGTTTAGCGATAGTAAATACGACGACCGAAGTGTATTGGGATCCAACGACATCGGGTGAATTGAGTGACGTGTACTATTTGTCTAGCCGAGAGGTATTCTATACCATATAGCTGATTGCGACGGTCTGTTAGAGCGAGTTTTGTCTGTCTCCGCATGCATAGTATTGTTTAGAGCCGCTAGTATCTGCCGAGGGTCACAGAATATACCAATTTCGCCTCTCCATATGCCTCGCTGAGCTCTTCATAGTATGATGATTTCATTGAAGGGCCTGTACGCGATGTTCGCTGACTCGTATCAATTAATCAGATTGTAATTAATAATCAATTTAATTTCATATCCCTTCTATGGTAGGATGAACGCCATTGACTTACTTACCGACTTATTTGCATAGCTAATAATTTTCAGAGATCCGTATATCCTTTCCGAGTGACATTTACTGGCTCCAATATGTATGGCGAGCATACGAAGCCACTTGGCTGTAGGCATAGTATCAGATCGTAGTGATACGTAGACTTGTATCGAATAGTAGCCCGTGTACGTTACATAAAGTACTTTTGCTGTCTACTTTTCAGCTCGGCGTGCTATTTGATGTGTCAGTGCATAGCTCATTTCGCAAGGTCGCAAATGGGTGTATATGCTATGTTTTTGGGATAGCCAGAACCTATGCATAGGGGCACTGTCGCTTTCACGGTACATTTGCGTCGTCGTGCTGGCTTACTGTGCTTACGCTTCTGATGTATCAGTCTATATGACCAGGTGCATCACTAACTGGGCACAGGTCAGACTGCAGAGATACAGGCTAGCTGACTGCGTGTCTGTTAAATGATATATACGCGCGCGGCGGGTACGCTTTATAGTCACCCGCGACTTAACCCAGCTCCTAGCTCTTCCATTATGGACATGGAGGCAAAGTATAGTACTGCATACAGATACATCGACCTGCCACGCACACCTGTATGGTCAACACTACCGCACACGTCCTCACGTCTATATAGACAGCAACTTATATTTCGCGCGTGGTGCGACTCAATACTGTAGTTTCAATTCTGAGCGCGCAAAAGTGTAATATAGTATGTGAACGTTAGTGGTACATATAGCATGATTTAGCTTGTGGCCAAATGAGTGAGTATACTTGCCGTCTACGGTGACGCGTATGCAGATAGGAACGGCCAGCTTGCAGAGGTACACAGTACATACCTCGTGCTAGTTATTATATGAAACGCGCTACGCTCTATAGGTGCGTCAACACGCTTGGTAGCGCCACAGTCAGCTTACGGTATGTGCGACCCCAAGCCTCGCACAGTCAGCCAGTATACAAACTGTGCGGGGTTAGGGGCTATATAGATGTATATCCAAATTACCTGCTCTTCTGCTGCTTCTTTTGCTCGATGTACTTGGCGTTTCGGGCGGTCAGCTTGCGAGGGCGGCTGTGCCTCTTTTTTTCCTTGGGGTACCATTCAGAACCCACCGCCTTATTGACGTTCGCCAGGCTTTCCTTGCGGCGTACTTCGGCCGAATCAGGTGGTGGGGGCTTTTCCTCCCAGAACCCAATCGCTTTTGGGCCGTTCTCGCAGGCAATACAGCGCCGCACGATGTCCCGCCCGCTGATTGTACGGAATGCGTAACCGTACAGTAGCTTCCCGCAGCAGACGCAGCGCGCCCGGGAATCCGTCGTAGACCGCTGCGGGTTCAGCAGAAGCGGGTCAATCTTCGCCTCGCATTGCTTGTACGTAGGGCCCACCATTTTGCAAAGTGTGAGTAAGCTAACAAATTATATTGTTTTAACCAATTACGTGCGTAAAATATTAGCCAATAGCACGGAAAAATAATGCTGGTATTTATTATTTAGAAACATATTAAAAAGTTGATATTTAATATTTTGATTTTGCTTTAATAGAACTTTTAACATATTTCCAAACAAATACATACTTTACATGCAATAAAAGTGACTAAAAGACTATGTACCGTGCGCGCATGCATTCATCGGGTGTGGTGCACGGGAGCAGATAGTGCAATAACCGTGCAGCCGCGCGCCTTCATTGCACGGTGGCAGTGGTGAGTGCCAGGTGAAGTAAAGAAGATATATATTCGCAAAGTCCCTACAAAAAGCGCTGGTCGTGAAGCCTACTTTAATATTAAAAAAACTATCGTCTATACTTTAGAATATGTGGAAAATAGCGTCGCCGAGCTTTTCAAATGCGGCCTGGGAAGCTTATTTTAATAATACTAATACTATTATTATCGTCTTTACTTTGAAAAGTGTGTGGAAAATAGCATCCCAGAGCTCTACACAATACTGGTCTGCGAAGTCTACATTAATAATAATAAACATCTCTATTTGAGAAGTGCGCAGAGCTCTTAGAAAATAAAGTGGTTACTGTGCCCGATTTGCAGTATATACGACAGGTTTTGCGTAGCTAAATGTAGATAATCACATCTGCAGCTCGCCTGGCTGTTTGCAACCAATCGCTGTGTTTCGTTCTCGGCAGAAATGTTTATATCACGTCCAATCGCGAGGGCCAGGGACGGTCTGATCGTGCGACAGATCCAGTCAGTGTCGCAGGTCGGCAGGTATTGCCCAATCAGAGCGCGAGTTAATTGTGTAACGCTTTTGGATATATTTGTAATTTTCGCATAGTTAGGTCGAGTCAGAAAGATAGGCGCGGTCGGTAAGATGGGAGGAAACTGTATTAGACAGGCCGGGTGTAGCCATGCGGAAAGGCAGGCAAAAGCAGCAAGACAGGGAGTGCGACGGACTGATTGATAGACGAACGGACGGACGGACGGACAGACACGCTGCAAGGTTAGAAGCGGAGCGATGCGATATTGGTCACGCTTGTTGAGCCTTCTAAACAGCCGAAACTCAGCTGGAAGCTGCGCTTCAGAAAACATTTGCTCTGCAAAGTAGATCCGGCGCACTCGACAATTCGCGTGGAGCTGTACGCTGATCGCATGTGCGTATCGGGCGTTGTAGCAAGTGCGCGAAAGCTCGCCCAGGTCCAAGTGCAGTTAATTCCAGCCGCTGTCCAATTGTAGCGGCAGCAGGGCAAGTTGAGAATGCACGGCACTGCTCTTCTGGAACGTAGAGAAGCAAAAGCGTCTTCTTATGCTGCGATCGTCGGCCACGTGAACCTCCAGCGACACGTGCTGGTCGAGGTTTTTGAGCGCCAGAATCAGGTGCCGCAATCGAATATGCAACGCTGATGCCAACAGCGACTCTTGTTGCTGCTCATGTGCACCAAAAGGGATTCGAAGCCAAGTATGCGCAAGGTTACCAGCTAAAAGCTCCACGACAGATGACTGCACATCTTCATCGAGCACGCGTCGTATACTTCCACGGTCCTCGCGCTTCTCGCACAGCTGTAGCGGTCGCGGACTACGGTGGATGCAACAGTGCTGCCATGGTTAGTCCGCGCAGTCGAAAGCTGCTTCTTCCCGCACAAGCACGCACCCGACGCTGTAGAGCAGCGAGATGAAGCCCGACTGATACACCTGCTCCAACATGTACAAGCTATTCACCGATCGTAAGAACTGAGCTTGGCCGCGGCGAAAATCTTGTTCTCTGGATATTCATATCCAGAGTTTTAGGGGCGATCGAAAACCGTCGACGATCATCTATAAAATATTAGGGTGCTACATTTGTAATTATTAAAAGTATAGTGGCTTGCAAGTGATAGGCTAAAAGGACGGAATACCTAATAAACTACGGTAAAGCATAAAAAGCACTGGTGAATGTCGTTCCAAGCCGCCTGGGTCAACATTCACGCTATCTGGTTTTAGGTGGATGTTGCTCCAATATACGATACCATCGATGGTGGGTTATACAGTACATGAAGGCTACATGATTTAAAGAAGAGAATAGATGAATACTAATAGGATTCCTATTGAGGCCGTCTCGCGTCAAGACAGCAAGGTCGGACGACAACGCACGTTCGACCGCGGCTTCTTCATTTTGGCTAAACTGTATCCTCATACACATCAGCCTTACGACGTAACGTGTAAGTAAGCCCCCCTCCCTCTCACACACACACTCACACACACGCACACACACACACACCACACATCAGAGGAAGAAAACGAATTACCACGTCGGGTATTTCAAAGGGAGGACTGACAGTAGAGAAACTGATTCTTGCTCCGCTTCGTCATCCGACTCGCAGGATTCCTCAGCGTTCATCTTTCTATGTCGCCGTCACTCGAGTAAAAACGTTATCGCAGTTGTATCTCATGGCCCCCCTTACGAAAGAGTTTTTGGAGTATTTTACTCCAAGTCGTGATGCGCTGGCAGAAACCCAAAGACTTCATGCAATTGAGGATCGAACAGATTAAGAAACCATAATGCTGTGGAAAAATTGTTACAGGTCTTCTTTAAAATACAGTACTTTCTTAAGTTAGGGTACCAGCTTGTTTTCCAGTTTTCGAAGTTCGGGGATAGCCACTCAAATGAATGACTATCATC